TGCTAGACGGATGACACGCAACGTCCCTTTGCTTGGAACGACCGATGTATCCTCTATTATGTTTTGCCTTACCTGAATTAAGAATTGTTATAATAATAATATATAATTATTATTGCCCCTTCTGGCCACAGCACTAGCAGCATTAACAATCTCCTGTGAGATTTTAAGATCTTAAGAACTGGCTGTTTTCAAAGCCTCGAATGGTCAGGCTCCTGCTTATATCCCAAATCTTGAATTGTCACCAAAGGAGATTGGTCCTTTGCTTGGCCTGTGGAAATCAATGCCTTGAGATCTCAGGCAGACAAACTCATTGACCGCTTATAAATCTCTACTTAATTCTCACTTTAATCATATGGCTTTTTCTTAACTGATTATATTTGTTCTAATAATTGAAATTATTTTATCTTCTCATCAAAATCATAAAACAATCATGTTCAACAATATCACAATGAAATTTTAATTCTCCTTCCTTGCTATGTGGTGCTAGAACTATACTCTTAAAATATACTATACTGTCTTTTCATTGATAAAGTTCTCAGCATAAATGCACAATTCATGCTTTGATTTTTCAGAATTTGAAAATTGATTAGCAATCTAATTTATTAAAGATCATTGATGTTGTAACATTTTAAAAGTTTTCTACCTGTTCCAAATGCCCAAAAAGTTGATGTTGCTGCTCCACTTCCAGTCATCAACATCTGAACCAGCAAGAGACAGAGCTTTTGTTCTTTGATCAGACAGAGCAGAGACTTGGATCAACTGTGTGGTGTGAAAAGGGCTATGTAAATAAATTGAATTGAGTTAAAAGGAAATGGCCTTCCCTTATGATCAGCTTTAAGGAAATGGCCTTGGTTTAAATACCTGTGATGTGAAAACAAAACAGAAGAGAAACATTCTTGGAGAGACATGTCAAAACAAAAATGCTAACAGAAATCTTTGCTTAAACATTGAGGACTCGGGATTTTATTTCAAGACCAGTCAAGACTGTAACGTTGGGAATATCAATAAATTGCTTCTGCATTGTCTGATTTATTTGTTAACATCCTAACTTTGATTGGATGTAAAACCTATTGCTTAAAATTAAAAATGTGCTGTTACCGTTAACAACTGTCACCCCTTCCCGCGTTGGCAAGCATGGAAAAGTTTTGAATAAAGATGCTTGAGTTGATTTCAGCTCTATGTGTTTGTATGTGATCCCCTTACTTTTCCAGGACAAAGTTTAAACTTCGCTATCTAATAGATTAAATCGAATGATTTTTGTAAACGTCTTACTTTTATTCTAGGACCACCATGATGATGGTGATGATTTGGTTATTTTATCTTGTTTCATATCTATGTTATGGATTTTGCTTTCTTTTTTAATTTGTTTTAATTATTCATTATTATTATTATTTATTTATTATTATTCACTCTTTGAAAGGTTCTATGTAAATAATATAATAACTTTTATAAACTTTTATAAAATATTATTAAACATCACAATCATAAAGCAATCATGTTCAACAATATCACAATGAAATTTATAATTCTCCTTCCTTTAGAACCATGTAATGCAAGATAATTGTAGATTGGTGTAATTCCATTAATATACTTTTTTTAAATGGAGTAAATCAGCAAAATATTACAATAAATAAGACAGTTCTCTATTTCATTGTAAGAAAGAAAGAAAACACACAAAATAAATCAATCAACAAGTAAAAGAAAACAGAAAAAGCAAAAAAAGGAAGGTACAGTGAAGGTAATGCTGTTAACAAACTAAAGAAAATAATAATAACCTTAGGAGACCTACTACTTACTAATTTCTGTTAATATCCTGAACCCCTACTGTCTCTGACTGAGTACTGACTACTCAGATCAAAGTACATCAGTTTACACCTTTCAATAGAACAAATAAGGCAAAAATTAGGTTGGAAAAATTATAATTGCCCGTGTTTATGGGAGGGCCGGGCCTCACTGATTACTGTAAAAAATAAAAAAATAAAAAACTTTTATAACCCTATTCACTGATTTTGGTGAAATTGGAGTATATTTTACGGAGAAAATATATTCTGGTTTTCCCTCTGATGTATCCGGCTGCTCTGCCTCAACTCTCTGTGATTTATGGAGTTTCCCAATGGACAGATGGCTTTTCTTGTTTGAACCAGACAGCCTCAGAATAATTTACCGACATCTTGCTTCAGGTATGAGTTTGATGTTAGTAAATCCAAGTGAATACAAAATCATACTCTATAAACACTAAAAGGAGAGAGTAGTGGTGTTTGATTCATACATCATGTTTTAAAGGCAGAACATGTCATTCGGTGCCTGCAAAGACTGTCACAAAAACAAGAGTTTATAATATTTGACCCACTGATATCAATCCCCTCCTAAAATTACTTTGACATAATGTTATTGCCAAAAACGGAAGTATTTTGCAACTCTAAATAGTGTGTTTTTAGCACTGCCTTGAGTAAAGCCTGGGAGCATCAGAAGATTGAGCTGCATCAGCTGCTGTTGAAGCAGGTCCGACTGAACTTTAAAGGGTTCAACAACACTGTTCTAAACACAATCCCAGCATGCTATGTAGAATTACACACTCAGAAGAATCAGCAGTCTAGTGAAGTGTCTTGAAAATCTTTCAGATTTCTTTGGTGCTATTTCATTAATAAAGCTCTCAGCATCAAAGCCCAATTCATGCTCTCTGTCCACTGTGTCATGCAGTGGTGTGCCTTAGGGTTCGAAGTCTTTTAAAATCAATTAGCAGTCTGATCTATTAAAGATTGTTGATGGTATCTTCCTGTAACATTTTAAAAGTTTTCTACCTGTTCCAAATGCCCAAAACGTTTATGTTGCTGCTCCACTTCCAGTCATCAAAGTTTGAACCAGCAACAGACAGAGCCTTTGTTCCTTGATCAGAGAGAGCAGAGGCTGGAGCTTTTATATTCTATCTTAATGGGGCTTATAAGGAAATAAAGGGAAAAAATGGAGAAGCAAATCGGAGGAGATAAGGATAGTATTAACTTATTATAAGGATGACACTCAGATCTACCGCCCCTTGTCCTCTAGCAACTATAGCATACTCAATGACCTCAATAACAGTCTTCGGGATATCTAATCCTAGATGGCTGATAACTTTCTTCAGCTGTGGGTATACATTACTCTGATTCATGCCTCCATACTCTGGCTGCATGTTAGCTACAGGATTGATTTTAAAATCTGCATGTTTTTTTTTTTTTTTTTTTACAAAGTAGTAAATGGTCTGGCCTCACTAACATTACAGAACTCTTGTCCCAATATGACACTGTGAGAGAACAGATATCATGGGCTCTGTGTGACCATATGTCTTTATTATTTTTATCATTACTACTATCGTCATTGATTTTTCTACTTGTTTATTTCATTCTTTTGTTTAACTTCTGTGTTTGCTGTAAAGCACCTTGGATCAACTGTATTGTGTGTAATGTGCTAAATAAAAAAAAGTTAAGAGGAAATGACCTTCCCTTACAAACAGCTTCAAGGAAATGACCTTGGTGTAAATGACTGGGATGTGAAAACAAGTCAGAAGAGAAACATCCTTGGAAAACAGAAATGCACATTGTACCTTGCTAAACTATGATGACTGACTTCAGGGGGTTTCCATGACATTTGGTACAGACTTTATTGGTCCCCAGAGGATGAATCCTGATGACTTTAGTGAATGCCTAACTTTTCCTCCAGCAGTTTACAGTTTTAACTTAGATATATATAGGTAATATATTAATTGGCTAAAATATGATGACTGACTTATGTGGTATTTTCCATGACATTTGGTACAGACCAAATGACAGATGTTTCCAAATGACTTTGGTGATCCCCTTTCTTTTCCTCCAGCAGGTCAAAGTTTAATGCAAAAGCTATTTATTGATATCACCATAACGTTGGGAATATCAAAAAATTTCTTTTGCATTGTCTGATTTATTTCATTACATCCTAACTTTGATTGGATGTAAAATGCTTCAAATTAAAAATGTTACCGTTCACAACTGTCATCCCTCCCCGCGATGGCAAGCATGGAAAAGTAGTGTTGAATAAAGATGCTTAAGTTGATTTCAGCTCTAAGTGTTTGTATGTGATCCTCTTACTTTTGCTCCAGCATGTCCAAGTTTAAACTTTGATATTAGATATCATGCTCTCTAATAGATTAATTGGCACAACATTGTACAAACATTCATGGTTTCCACACAATAAAGTCTAATGATTTTTGTAAACCTCTTACTTTTATTCTAGGCCCACCATGCAGAATTTTTAGTATTTAGTGAAACATCTCCACAACGTTTGGATTGATTGCTGTAAAATTTGGTAGACGTGCATGTCTCCCGCAGTATGAATTGTTGACCCTGATGAAGGCTACATGTGCACATTGGTCTCACAATAGAGTTGTTCTTTAAACTACAAGTGTTACTCAAGTTTTGACCTCTTTGACTTTTACCCTTCCCAGTACACCTTGGAAGTAGCTGAGGTTGTGCTATAAATCCCTACTCTGTACCCACCTGATGAACTGTAATCACTTTGGTGATCCTTCATTTTTCATCTAGTACTACCATCAAAATCAAACTGTCAATTTTTTTTTATTTACTTTGGTTTATGTCCAAATACCTGAAAAACGTCTCAGTTGTACTTTGTCATTAGTACAAATTAGCAAGTGTTATAATAATACTAGTTATAACAAGATGGTAAACAATATACCATGTTAGGATCATCATCGTGAGCATGTTGATGTCTGATTTTGTCTGGTGATGCAAGGATAAGATTAATCAAAATTCAATTATTGTATTATTTATTTTTAGGTTGTTGCATTGTGTATTCCACAAAGTACTTTTAGCTGCAGATTTGCTGACACAAGTATACAGCACTATTTGCATAATAAGCATGGTCATCGTTCAACATGGTCATCAACTAAACCACTGCCCCCTCCCTCCCTAAGATGTGTGGTAATGTCCAATATGACAAAGACTCAAAAAACAGGGTATTGCAAAACAAGAGACTTACAAAAAAAGAGATTTTTAATTGATGAAAGAAAAACTCCAATGACACAACAGTGTAACAGTTCATCTGAATTTTGCTGCTTTTAAAAGCGGTGGAGCTGACTGTTAAAACCTGGAAGTTTTCAACACCACCTTTGCATATCCTACAGGGGGGAAACATGCATGCAAAGTGAATTATGAAAACAAATGATTCTATGTTACTGAATATCTACAAGGGACACAGACTTTAAATCAATGCTAAATGTAGAGAACTAAGAATAACTGTGCTTTCTTGAACTGCAGGGGTCTGCAACAGCTAGAAAGTATTTTAAACATCTTGTGAATCCACTTTCCAAAACAATTATACAGATATAGGAAATGCTTTGGCACGCATATAGTAGAAATAAATGGTCCTTATGAAGACATGCACATACAAAAGCACAAGCTTTTACAGACACATTCTCAAACTTTGCGCATCATGTGAAACTGTTTCCACTGGGCATTCACTTCACAACAGTCACAGGCACTCATATTTTTATATAATGGCATTGCCATGGTTAATAAAAGCTTGAGGTCTTACAGGAATAATCTGCAATATTCCTTGATGTTCAGTGTGATGAAATTATTCATACATATTCAATAGTGCTTGGAACAAAATGATCCCACTTAACATACTGCGATACAGCCCAAAAGCTTTGTTTATTGGTTGTGTGTGTCATTAAAATAAATCACAGGTGTGGTTAGGTTGGACTGTGTGTGTGTGTGTGTGTGTATAAAGACGTAAGAAGAAAGTACACTATGTGGTTTCTTCCTTTCAACCAGTACGTAGGATGATGTGGACTCCAGAGTCAGTAAAAACAGGACCGCTCATGTCTCCCACCTTGAGAGCAAAGGAGGCATCTTCAAAAGGCTTCTGCATTTGACCTAAAACACAAACAGATACATTATCTTACTTCACACATATACTTATTAACATCTGTGACCTGTGTGCACTTAAATTCCTGTGTTTACTTTAAATAACCTTTTCAGTAGTATACACGTAAACATTTTTTCTTTAAGTTTATTAGGTTTCAGCTGTGGGCGTGTCATATAGACATGGCCAGTAATGGCGAACATTACGATATCTTTTTGAATGAGCGCTGATCAGGCTCGTATGTTGTCAGTCTAATCCCTAAACTTTTAGCTGCTTTGCTGTCTACAGAGCAATGTGACTCAAAACGACCACATAACTAACTGTGATGGAAGTAAAGAAGGGTGATGGAAACAGAGCAGGGGGACGCTGGACAGCGCGAGGCACTCTCAGTTCCAGCGATGAATGCTAGTTTTGAATTGGTACAACCTCCTCTACTGTGTGTTTGGCTGACAGCGCTGCCAGCAGCCCGGCAGGAGAGACACTTGTTGGTGCACTGGGTTCTTTAAACTTAACTATGACCAGGACGCACCGATTCATCTGTTTGGAAATCTCAGATCACAGATGATGAACAAAGGCATTAAAAAAGGAATTTAGTGTAGCCTGCTGCTCTGCAGGTGCATTGGACTGACACTAACTGGACAGGGGAGTGACAAATATATTTATCTTATATGTAGCTAAGGTGTACTGAAGAAAAGACTGTAAATAAATTGAATGAGTATAAAGGTGAAAAATCTATATGGATAAGAACAAGCATAAATGATGAACCACAGGCACATGGCGCTGCTGTTCTTTCTCAACCCCATCCAAACATTCTTCAAAACACATAACCTATGATGTGTGTAAAACTCTCCTTTCTTTGTCTATGCGTTAATGGAGGTGGGTGTCTGCATGTGTAGTGGTACACACTGTATATAAACAGTATAGCTGTGTGTGTGGGATGATTGAGTATGCGAGTGTGTACCTCTGCCAAATAATCCCAGATCTCCACCGTTCTTAGCTGAGCTGCAGTCGCTGAACTGAGATGCCAGGGCCTCAAACTTCTCCTCTCCAGACTTGATCTCTTCTATGTACTCTGCACAGGATACAGAAATAAAGAACAAATTAAACATGTTCATCAGCCCTAACTAAATCCCACCCCCGACGATGCTAAACTTACTCTGAATGAGTTCCAGGGCCTCATCTTTAGTTCGTGTAATATTTTGTTCCCGCCAAGAAGATGGACGACGTGACTGATTGTGCTTCACCAGCAGGTGAGAACAACGTACCTGAGTGAGTAAAAAATACAAAGTCATCAGTGTCAAACTGGTCTAATTAGTTATGCCAGTTTTCTCTTAGACAAGTCAGTACCACTTTTTAATAAGACATATAACGTTTTATATGTTGTAACTTCATCTTCATGATCCTAGTTAATAAAACATTTTGATGCTTTCTGGTTCGGTAATAAAGACCAACCTTTTGGCTTCTATGCTGTGAAAAAAAACATCTAATTCTGTCATTCATTAGCTCTTTTATTTAAGCTGAAGGCTTATTAAAAAGTGACAAACTCATCACTCTTTATTAAAGATTTACAAACAAATTTGTAGACTTTCATGGCTTACTGGAAAATGAGTAAATTATTAATACATTATTTTGACTTTCTTTCTAGAGTTGTAAAAGTTAGAAAGTCATAAAGACTTGATTGGGTCAAAGTCATTTGAAGACATCACTGAACTAAATAACCCTGGGGTGACAACCTCGACAGCAAGCAACAGCATTTTATTTATTGTCTCATTCCATTTGTGTACAAATAATATACGCTCGTATTTATGTTTGGTACACTTTGTACATTGTTTAATACTGTATCAACCACAAAAACTGGCCTGGAGTTGAGTTTGAAAATCACACATCGCAATTACACAACAAAGTTTCCTGGATGCCTCCATGTCGGTTTGATTTCTTAGATATATACACATGTTATGGTAACATCTGACCTAGCATGGGTGAATAATACATAGGCACTGAAGCTTGTTTGTTGGAGTGTATATCAAATCAAGACTACCACATGGTTGAAGATGTCTAAAACATAAAATGCCGTTGGTGCTTCAGAAAGTCTTAATTGGTCTGACAGATTTGCTGCTAAACTATAAGCTCAAGTAATACATACTGCAACACTGGTGGGATACAAAGGAAAGTAAATAAATGAAAAATATGGTGATGTATACTACAAAAGAGATGATCATATGTTTGGGACCGGATGACAACTAATCAAAAGCTAGACAAGTGATCAGTGGGATTCTCCCATCAATACCACTCACATGAAATGTCACCTAAAATAAGATACAGAAATATTTTATGTCAACAAAAAGATTTGATATGTAGACTATTTAGACAACACATTAATTATTTTATAATTATCTTTTATTATTTAATTCTAGGATGTAATACACAAACATAGGAATGTATACTCCAGAACTTCTGAACAAGAATAATGAATAATAAGAGACAATGCAGCCTTATGATGACTTTTTTTTGTTTGTTTGTTTGTTTTTTTTAAATATACACACACACACAGAATATGGAATCAGCAGGATATTTTGGGATAGTTCATTATAGCCTTAAAGGGCTGCAATTTCTGCAAACCACCAGATGTCACTGTTTTTACCTTTTATGGTAGAAGTCCCAAATCTTCATAAGGCCTCAGCCTTGCTCTTTAACAACGTTTATTGTTGAAGTACTATGTTAAATACATGGTTTAAAAAATAAATAAATAAATGAATCACACATAATAACCTTATCTGGCTCTCCACGGCCGTCTCCCACTGGACGTTCCCACTGGCTCGCATTCGTGATGTGGTTGAAGTAGTACACTTTGCCTGGAGAATAAATAGAGAGTCATTAGAGCCGCATTCATTGATTTTTTAACAAACGGAGGCAGCGGAACAAGCTGAAAACACAGGACTGACATACTATTATCAACTTATAAAGCTTTTATATGTGCCACTGGCAATACTAACCTTATTAGCAGATCGTGTATTGATTAGAACATGACTGCTCCACATCAGATACAGTTTGTCAATACTTTCATTAGAGCAGCAATGATTAATCAAATAATCATTTATATGTCGACTATTAAATTAATCGCCAACTATTTGGATAATAAAATTGGTTTGAGTCATTTTTTTAGATAAATGATTTGATCCCAGCTACTGTGAATATGTTCTGGATTCTTTACTCCTCTATGACAATAAACTCAATATCTTTGGGTTGTGAACAAAACAAGACTTCTGAGGACGTCCTCTTGTGCTATGGGAAAAACTGATTGGTCTATAAAATGTGAGAAAAATATCAAACAAATAATTCATTAAATTGAGAAAATAATCGATAATGACAATAATCATGAATTGCAGACGTAACGGTCATATCATTATATAGAGTTCAGGGTTTCTGCTATCAGTTACATTCGTTGAGTCACGGTGGGCTGCCATCTCAATTTTAGTCCCACAGCAGTACCTCATAATCCTTTGCATAAAAATTATTCAGATGAGTTCTACGCAGTGAGGTGTACAGAATTTAAGTGTGGGAATAGGAGAGGGCTGCAATTCAGTCGAATCTGAGTTGAGGTATCAAAATCTGTATCACGAGAGAAAAATTTTGGTTGGTGCCCCCTTAACAGTGTTAGCAAATAATTGCTTATTTACACATCCTGCAGACAGGGAGCAACATTAGCATTCATTTGAAGTCATGTTTCTGTCCCACCTGTCGAAAGGTCCAAAACTCATTCTCTTTTCAGCTCTGTCTTCGTGTACACCAACTCCTCTGGGAAATATCTTGCTATTTCTGCCTGCTTAAAGTTCTACTTTTTTCACCAGCTCGTAAAACTCTGTCTGCCATTGGGTGCTGGGCATGCAGTACAGCAGTGGTTCCCAAACTTTTCCACATCAAGGACCCCTAACCTGACACAAACCAGACCACAGCCCCCATTTGATAAGATTTTGTCCGAGAGTCCCCAATCTGATTGGATTTTTCCTTTTAGATGTTTTCTTACAGAAAGTGATGAAACCCATGACCCAAAATGTCATACATTCTTTCAGAACAGAAGGCCGATTGAAGGGCACGCAGGGGTTCACCATGCCATCTGAGCAGGGGCGTCACTCTCTAACTTTTAGTTTTTTTAAACTTATCGCCTCCAAGAACACTTCCTCTTATAACACCTCTAACATGCACTTCCTGTGCTCTTCCTCCTCAATCTCCTTACAATTTTCTTGTATTGACTGCACTATTCATTAACTCTTACTTCTTTCTCTAGGTATTTACCCCATTGACACGCTATAGCTCTTACTAGTGTTTATTGTCACCTGTAGATCTTTTACTGTAATGACGCTTTATTGATGCTTGCATGTTCCTCAAATGTTTTACCCAAAATCACTTTGGACAGAAGTGTCTGCCAAATGAGCAAATGTAAATGTGAATCAACATCACAGGGAACCTGACACAGTCATCTTATTAAAACTGCACAGAAGATCATTGGTACCCATCTTCCGATCATTCTGCATTAGTGATATCGGTAAGGTGAGCCCTCAGAGCCCAAAGGACACTAAAAGACAGTACTCATCCAAGCCACAGCCTGTTCACCCTGCTGCCTTTTGGGAAGACATATAAGAGTCCAGACTGCAGAGCAGCTCCCCCCCAATCTGTCAGACTTTTAAACTTTTAACCTCAAATACAGCCCTGCTCTACTGCATATGGTTTATTTCTGTCTACCATTTATAGGATTGCTTTTGTATTAATGTATATTGTCTGCCACGTAGCAGAAGGGAGTTACAAACTACTCACTCTACAACCTGTTGTATTATGACAAATAAATCATCTTTAAGAGATAAGTCATATTGTGCTGGGACCTGTAAGCTGCAGGTTCCACCATGTTGTAATGGAATTAGACTCTACTAAGCCTTTTGGCCTCCCAACATACATGTGGAAGATAAAACCCCTGCTGACGCTCGCCCAGTCTACAGGTGAGGCGCTGGAGCATAATGACGTCATGCAGGGCCCTGCAGTAGCCAGATTGAATGGATCAGCTCTGGCGCGATCACGAAGCAACACACCGAATAAAGGCAAAACACCACATTTAACAAAACACACATATAACACCGATTTACCCACCACTTGTTTTAGTTTATCCCCATTGAACTTAAAGTTCCTTCTGCCTCGTTTCCACAGTAAACCACGATGCTGGCGGCTGCTAGCTAACATTAGTAAGCTACGTTGACTAACTTACATCCTGCCATTTAGCAAGCTAGCTAGCACATTTAGCCCCTAGTGGGTTCTGTTTCATTACCTGAACTGCGGCTCATTCTTTTCTCCCATCCAGACGGCAACTTCTCATCGTCTGCCATTATTTTTTCTGCAGCAGCGTTTTCAAATTTAATTTCAATGTTGCTCCCGTGTGACAGGTTGGGCTGCAGCTAGGCAAATTGCGACAGTTAGCAACGTGTTTACGGTATGAGTTGTTTTCCGAATCAGGTCCGCCTTTGACAAGGTTTTCTGTCTTGCCATAGGCTGATTTGGCTTGTCAATCATCGATGTAGTCATTTGATTGGTCGAGAGGCAAATACACAAACCCAAATCAGCTTTACGGTGAGTAGGACGGAGATAGAAAGAGCGTTCCAGAAAATCAGCGAAAAGGGGTTTATTTGTTATTCTGCTGTGAATTTCCAGGTATGAATGTCACACTTAACACACCGTTATAATAGATGTAGCACAATGACTGAGATTTTCAAGACAGCATGTTGATTTACGTGTGTGTACATTCCGCACATTGGTCTGTAGCGACGGTGATGTTAGCTAATAGTTTTAGCGTTAAACAAAACAACCAGGCGGTTTAAACATATTTGAAATGGCTCTGTTTCTCACATGTGGCCCACTGTGAATGAACCGCATTAGCTAACGTTATAGCTTCTAAGTCTTTATATGTAAGTTACGAGTATTACTCATATAACGTCGCACATATACGCACATGTTAAAGCTAACTCTGTCACGTTTTCATTCTGTTGGTAGGAACTGAAGATGATTGAGGTGGTTTGCAACGATCGTCTGGGCAAGAAAGTCCGTGTCAAGTGCAAGTATCCTTCACTGAAACTGTGGAGATGACGCCTAATAATGCGTCCTGCCACACGTGTAATACTAGTTTCCTTTTGTCAATGCATCGATTAACGTTAGGCCTTTTAAAAATTGATCATACCACTTCACCCTTTCCTTGAGCCCGATGTGACATCTTCATTTAACTTGTTTGATCTGACCAATATTCAAAACTCCAAAGATATTAAGTGCACTATCATGTAAGACAAATAAAACCCGCAAGTCCTCATATTTCAGAGGGTGGAACCAGATAATGTTTCAGCTTCTCAAATGTGCTGTTTGTAGCCACAGTGCCATGCCAGCTAATCAAGAGTGCACTCTCTACTTAAGGTATGTCCTCTTAGATTTTCAAAAAAGAGCACACTGTCATTCAAGACAACTTCCTCCAACATCAGCAAATGCATCCTCCCAGCTGTGTTCAAAGTAGCAAAGTTGGCCTAGATGAGAAGTAACAGGATCAGCAAGTTAACCTTGGTTAGTTAAACCACGTTCGACACCAGTGTGTGTGTGTGTCTGAATTTTTTCTTCGCCATCACAATGCTCCTTCCTTAACCCCCATGTTTCAGCTCTGAGGATACGATCGGAGATCTGAAGAAGCTCATCGCAGCACAGACAGGAACACGGCACGACAAGATTGTATTAAAGAAATGGTAAGGTGCTCGTCTGGAATTCTGCCTTGCTTGACCATAACAAGTGTTTCTGTGGCTGTATATTAGCAGCTAAATGTTCCGCCTCTGTTCCCACAGGTATACCATATTCAAAGACCATGTGTCTCTGGGTGACTGTATCCTTTTAAACAATCTTTCCATGTGCTTTTTCACTGTCAGCAGTACTGATAATGTTGCACCAGTTTTACATTTTCTTTTACAGAAGTCTACTTGTCATACTTAAAAAGTAAGCATCTGATCATTTTAAGCACCAAAAGTCAGTAAATTTGTGTAAAGTGATGATGGGGGTGGGTGGAGTTTTGGTTGTACATACTGGATGTAGAGATATGCACCAATATAGAGTGTGTGGGCCAGTAACTAATGCTTGTCTGTCTATAATGATCAATACAATAACCAATAACATTACTATTGCAAATGCAAAAGAGGATAATAAAGTGTAACCATTTAGATTGACCAGTTGTCATTTTAATGCAGTTTTTATAAACAAATTGTAGTTTGCATAAGAAAGGACATTTTTACTGATATTGTGTTCATCTTTTTCTCAATATCATGTTGGGCAACAGTGCAATCAATATAAATGTATCTATCTGTGACCTTATTACACTTGCAGTGTCTATTTATAGTCACAGAGGAATAGCAGTAATAAAAGCCTCCACATTATCAGATTAAATCATCCTTCTGTAACGATGAAAACAGGAGGAGCATTTATCCGACGCTTTTTAGAATATTTATTGTGCTAAACTTGTACCAAGCAGAATACACAGTGGGGCAGAACGTATTTTTATTATTTTCCATTTTCTATTCTCTATTGTACTTAACCACAACCTCTGCAGATGAAATCCATGATGGTATGAACCTGGAGCTGTACTACCAGTAGACCACAGGAGGAACACAAGTCAGCCCTCTTTGTTACACGCAGAGATGGAGTCGCTGGAATCTGTTGCAGTAAACCACCATGATCCCACAACACAAGTGAAGGAGAGAAGGAACAGAAAACACACAGACATTGATCTCAGTTTTAGCTTATAATTTTTGCAGACAAATTATTATGTGAAAGACATGTTATACAATTTTTGTTTTGATATTTTGGAATTAAAGCAGATATTTACCTAACTACACGACTGAGTGCTGGTCATTGTTAGTTGTGTTTTCCCATACGGGATGAGACTGCCATTATAACTGTAACGCATTGTATGTGTAACACCTCTCCAAATTAATGTTAATTATACTGCTCCTCCAGTTCATTTGAAAGCATATCATTTAATGTTAATGCATTTACTGTATGCGACAATAATTGCAATACTGCCACTTGTACAGTATGTGTTACATTTCAAGTATTTGTATTGTATTTGTATTTCTATCCTTGGAAAAGATTGTGCAAAAAATATTGTTACAGCTGTCCTAGACCACAGACAAAACGTGAATATATATATACATTTCAACCCTGTTGACATACTATTGTGTACTATTGGTCTGAGTAGTGGAAAGTAAGTAAATATTGTAGTTTTTACCCCACAACATGTATCTGACAGCTGCAGTTACATGTCACTTTATAGGTTAAGATTTGTCAATCAAAACATCTTATCAGTTTACAAAACAATACATTATTGTAAACTACAGAGCAGTATATAAATGTTTAAAAAGCTCCACTGAAATCCTGCATCATGTTAATGCATCCATAATATATATATATATATATATATATATATAGGAGTATAACACTATTAAATGTTACATACTTTTATTTAAGTCAGATTTTGAATGCAGAACTTTTATTTGATCTGGGTCTCTTTCATGGTTTGTGTTAGACCTCTTGGTTACAGTTAAGATAAATAGTTATGCAACAGTATACAAAATTTAGACAATAATGTACTTCCAACTTTATGGCAACAGTTTGGGGAAGACTCTTTATTTACACATTACAATGCCCCAGTTTTTATGCTAAACTAACTTAAACATTACAATAACACCATGTAAAAGAAAGGTCCATAAAGAAATAGTTTTTCCAGTTTGATATGAAAGGACTTTATCGTCCTGACCTCAACCCCATACAACACCCTTGGGATGACTTGGAAAGCCAACTGCGAGCCGGGACTTATCACCCAACGTCAGTCACAGCCTCACTTATGCTCTTGTCTCTGAATGGGAGCAAATTCCTGCAGCCAGGCTCCAAAATGTGGGAATCCCTCGCAGGAGAGTGGAGGTTGTTATAACTGTAAATTAATGCTCATTTTTTTTTAAATGAGCATATTCAATAATCACAAGTTAGTAAAGTTAGTTAGTTGTACATACATAAACAGGACATTCATCAGGTCAGCTCAACAACAGTTTTATTCACATCACTAGACAGTCATTAGATCACACACACACACACACACACTCGTGCATATGGGTTAATGCAGTCGATGGAGACCAGGTATCACACAGACTCCTACATATACAGTATGGGTCTACACATCTTCTCAGCAGTAGTCAGAGTAGTCCTCCTCCACATAGTTGGCTGGAAACAACCCCACCTGAAAACATGAGCAGTGCAGGTAAGACAAGATGCCTTAAAACCTTTAAATGTTCTTTTCATGACAGGTTACAGGTTAATTTGTTGGGGGTTTTTTTACGTGTGGATGTTTGCAAATTCCTCACCCGGCCGTACACCTCTCCTTTCCACCAACCATTGTGACCTTTCTTGGAGAGGATCTTGATGGTGTCTCCTTCCCGTAGCGACAACTCTGAGCGGTCCCTGGCTGAGAAGTCATACCTGGCCCTCACTACGCCAAAACTCCTCATGCTACCTCCTGTCAGACAGAGCCAACATTGCAACATGGATAAGCTTGAAAGAATAGTACCTGTCGGTTAAATATAAAGCTCCAGCCAGTTTGCTTAGCATAAAGACTGGAAATGGGGAAAGAGTACTTTGTTACCTGTATTGAAGAATAAAGCTTTACAATTATTTATTATTCATTAATTATTTTAGCTGTTTCCCACTGTTTCCAGTCTTTATGCTAAGCTAAGCTAATCTATCCTGGCTGTAGCTTTATATTTATAACCCATTTTTTACATCCTATGTTTTGTCTGTCACTAAGTAATTAGATTGAATTGAATTTGATTAATTTGACATTTTGATGCATTCATTCATATTTAGCATACGTGCTGCTGTCTATGACTGTGGAAATTAAGCATATTTTCAGAAATGTGAAACTATCTCTTTAACGTGATCATAAGAAGGTGTGTGGAGGGACAGAGATGTACTATACCTGGTGTGGAGTTTGGTGTGTTGTTAGCCGAGTTGCTTTCCTCTGGTTGTTTGTAAGGGGTACGCAACGTGGTGTCCACATCCTTGAAATACTCCTTCAAAGAGTTCTGCTGGTAAAACTGAATCATCTCCTAACACAGGAAGAAGGAGGAGGAGGAGGAGGAGGAGGAGGAGAAGAAGAGTGTGAAAAACATGTAAGACAGATGTTGCACGTGGTTTGAGAGGAGGAAATTAGGTCACAAATCCACAACGTAAAAGATAGTTTCAGAGCATTTCTTTTGGTCAGCATCATCCTATTTTGGATGAGGTTGTAAGACTTACAACTAAACCCTTGAAGGCCTTCTTCTCATTGATGCGGTACAGGCCTTCAGTGGATGTGATCTTAATGTGTCTGATGTCCATGTTGAACCTGGAATAGTAAGAGGGTTATGGATGAAA